ATGGGTCCCACTCAAAATTTATATTCACATCATTTTTTCCAACAATCCCCACATGAATGAAAATTGGGAGAGACACAAAATCTAAAACGAATACTTGGTGATAAAGTTCAATGGTCGAAACCTGCATAGGAGGTGTATGTATTAATTACCCTTTGAACATTCTCTTGTGAAAGCATATTTACTTTACTAGCTGACCAGTAGATGCGTTGTATTTGCAATGGTCTGTCGTTTATATAAATGATGATATGCTCTACACATGATTCTTTCTAACACAATTCAGTTCTCATTATCATGTTCGTTTTTTTGCCATGAACATATGCATGGTTCTGCTATAGTTCTTAAGAATTTAGCCCCACACAATTTTCTTAGAAGCGACCCTCACTTCTCTTTCACATAGGAGATTTCTTATTACAAGTAACCCGCACTACTTGGCTCGATTTTCGACATATAAGAACCATTAAAAACCTGTTGCTTATCCTTCATCCTTACGGGCATCACTATTGCATCATATGAATGGATATGGGCAATATTCCCCCTACTCACAGTGATTTAATTAAGTCTTTATAATTAGGTTGTCCCTTTGAACCTTTTTTTTGAAAAAGATGAAAAGTTTATTAGAAAAACCTTACGAGTGGCAGAGGAAAACCAAGATTACAAAGAATAAATTCAACTCAAAACATATCAATGTCTAAGATAAGGTAGTTCCCAACTATCCGTGTACAGAACTCCTCGAAGTAGAGTCAGAACCTTATCACCAAAAAATAGGTCAATAGACGAAACACCGCATCCATTTTTTGCAAGAAAATTTGCCGCCATATTAGCCTCTTGGAACACATGTTGAACCTGGACGTTTAGAAGATGGATTAACTGCACAATTTCATCCCAAAATTCCCAGAGCCACCATAAAGTGAAGGCGTCTCTCGTTATCCAATGTACCACTATTTTTGAATCAGTTTCAACACTTATATTCCGTAATCTTAGATCCCTGCACATGCGAAGTCCATCAAGGAGTGCACGCATTTTAGCTAGTACAAGAACCATAATGGCGAGAAAAATTAACCAAGCATACTCCCTTGCTGTCCCGTAAAATAACCCCACCACCGGCTGGACCTGGATTGCCTATAGAGGCGCCATCAATATTTAGCTTAAGTTGTTTGCCCTTTGGTTTTTCCCAGCTAATCAGTTGCACTTTGGCTTTTTGAACGTCGTTAATGGGGCAATTTAAGGAGCGCAAGCAATAGACATCACGTTCTGAAATTTTTCTGGTTTTGGACACCAGACCGGTAATTTGAGAAAACGACGATTTAGTCTGCCGCAACAAGTTTCTGCTATGACACGGGATGACCCTCCATTCGAGCTTCACATCTTGTTTTCCACACTTGCCCTGTGATAATAATTGGTATAATGCCTTGAAGAATACCAAGCTGTGAAGTTCTAGAAACTTGTTTCCCCACATAAGTTCATCATCCATTTCCAAGTATAACAACAGGTAAAAACATGTTAAAATGTGCTGCAAAATATGACCACACCCTTTTAGCTAACTCTCCATTACACAGAACATGGTCTATGCTTTCCATTGAGGGTTTTGGACAACAATTACATTTAGAAGCCAGTGGGATCCCAATGCTTTTGACCACCTCATCAACTGGTAAACATTTCAGCCGGGCTCTCCAGGAAACAAAGGAGAATCGTCGGGGAACATGGTGCTGCCAGAGCCAACGATTCCATGGATAGGGCATTCCTTTTTTTTGGGGATAAAATCCGAAGCTGACTTGGTAGAGAAAGAGCTATCCATACTGGCCTTCTAGACTTATTGGTCACTTTTTGCGTATAGATTAATATGGACACGTTCTAACATACCGGATATGCAGTTTACAGTGTGGACAATAACTTACTGAATAATAGCTAAGATATAGCATATTAAATAATATACTAATCACAATAAACAAAATAAGTTATATAAATCACGATAGAATAGAACAAATAATCTAAATAGTAGAAAATAAAAATTCAATTGAACTTTAAAAATTGAGGCCTATTTGAACACAGTTTCTTTAAAACATATTCTCCTCACCGTAGGTGTTTGATATTTAATTTGAGCGTCTGTTTCCCAGGATACAACTGTAAACTAGTAGAGTCCAAGTACTGCAGATTCTATTTTGACGAATTGGCTTAGTATTTGAACAATATCACCACCAAGACCTTGACAGACAGTAAATTATGTATGCAGACAGAAGAAAATTTCGCATGCAGACATATATTTTTCTTGTGTTTTGAAACTGTAATGCTGACAATGTATTCTTCATACCTGGAATAGTGAAAAAACGAGGCTTTATATAGATTTAACTTTAGTAATGACGAGTTAAATATGTCTATTAACTCAATGGTAATAATCATTGGAGTTTTAACAGTTTCAAAAACTAAAAGTCAGTTGTTAAAAGCAAAACAAATTGGTAAAACGTGGGCCCCAATGAGCCAATTTTTGATCAATTAGATCCGACATTTGTATACGCAGATTGTGCCTGTACACAAGTTCAAGGTCCGAAACCTATTTCGGTCTGTGATTTGCACCCCCATGCGCGCACATGGAGAGAGTTTCTATGCTATACATGATTACACACTTCCAAAGTGTAGCCATGTATAAAGTGATTCTTACTTTCATACACTTCATATGTGGAATAAACTCAAATTTAGTTTTCCCTCCAACATAAACCATATTCCAATGGTACACTTTGAACTCCAATTTCTCATTCACCCGACCTTCATTTTTGATAGGTAAATACATGATTTCGACGTTCTCGTGGAGGAGAACACAAATCAATATTGATCTTTCAAAATAAGCAAACGGGCCCCACTCAAAATTTATGCCAAATTTAGTCATTCACCTCATTTTTTCCAACACGACTAAACTTGAAGAACAATTCTACTTATATATAAGGAATTACATAAAATTTTACAAATGGACGATGTGTCAAAAATAGAGGGACCAAGTTTTTTTTTTTTTTTTTTTTTTAATTTGATTGATCCAATCATATCTCACAATATATATCATGTATTAATACATCAATCTGTAAATTGTGATGTACATATAGTACAACCGAACAAAATTTTTGTTCTTTTTTTTTTTTTTTCAAAACTCAAGATCAAATTACACATTTATTTTAATTATTTCCTTTTTTGTTTTTTCAAAAATTTATGAATTAGTTACTAATTAATCAAGTCCTAATTTGTTTAATGTTTAGCCCATGACTTGATAAACACTCAATAGAAATGAAAAAAAAAAAAAATTGAATTTTACTACTTGTGTGTATATATAATATGATGTGAAGGAAAAAGATTAGATGAAAAAGTTGATTATGTTTTAAACTGGTAAATGATAGAATTTTATATGATATTATATAATTCATTATGTAAATCTTAATATACATGTAGCAACATCCAATGAAAAATGCAGGTCAAACTTAACTAATTATTTAATTTAAATAATTATGCATTATCACATTGCCCATCTTGAAATTAACATGTATGCAAGTGGAAACACAAAGTTAAAGCTTTTTGTGCAACCCAAGTAACTCAACAAAATCACTCATCCTTAAGTTGTGACAATTATGAAACTTCTAATTGCATTATAAATTAGTTAAGACATTGACATTGCAATAATAAATTAGTTAAGACATTGATATTGACATTGTCAGCTACTTCTAGCTCCATTATCCAGAATACATTATTGGAACATTTTGTAATCTGAATTAAACAAAATTCAGTGCTGTTTCTGTTTAATACAGACGTGTCTCTTTTTTAGTTTTAAACCTTTTAAAAATGTGCATTCAGATCCCAAATCTTTTAATCTCAACACCTATATTCCAAACATTTTAATAAATGTATGTCGAAAGGACCTCTTGATGATTTCATTCTCAAAAATGTGCATCGGGGACAAGTTTGGAGAAGAAGACATTTTCCTCTTCCCTCTTTTTTTTTTTTTGTTATTTTGTTAATTTTTTTTAAAAATTTAAAATTGTTTTCATTAATAAAATGCGAAGAGACCATTTTGCACTTCTTAAAAAGGGTCAAGCCAAACGTTAATTTTTTTTTTTATCATCTGATAGATTTTTGGGTGGATACCATCCAAAGGTTCTTTCGGTGCATATTTATAAAAATGTTTAGAATGTAAGTGCTAAGATTAGAAGGTTTGGAACCTAACCCTAAATTTTTGAAAGATTTGTGACATCGACTACAAAATTTTCAATAAAAATGGAGTGTACCTTGGCACTATCGACGTCTTAAAGCCTTGTTTAACTCATATTTTTAAAAATGAAAAATAATTTTTTTTGAAAAATGTATAATTATAAAATGGAGGAAATTTATGATTCTATAAAATATATAATTAAAAATAATTTTTAAAAAAATCAGTGCCAAACAAACCTTATCATACATGTTTTGGTTTCTTTATTTATTTCCCTCTTCCTCTACCTTCAACTTTTAAAGCAATCATTCTCCCCCTTCCCCATAAATATTTTTGGAGATATTTTAATAATATTAGTAAATAAGGGTTCCATTAATTTCAAAATTCATTTTTCTTTCTCTTTTTTTCAACCACACATTTTTCAATAAATAATATTACATGTAAACTCTAAACTTTTTTTTAACCACACATTCTTCGAAATATCATTATTACAAAACAAAATTTTCACCAAAACTAATTATAATGACTTTAAAATTGAAAAAGAATAAGCAGAGAAAAGTGACATGAAGTCATTGCATAAATTCCCATAAATCATTCTACATTAGCACTCTCACAGGGTACAAGTTGCAACGTACAACCAAACACCTCCATGAGGAAAAATCTAAATTTTTTCAAGATTTACATATTCAGAAAACCCAAATCAATGATAGTGGTGATTAGGGTTTCTTTCAATTAGCCAATCAATTGTAGAAAAAAATCCAATAAAATACAGAAGCAGCTTCAAGAATCTCTAGTAGTATTTTCTTGATAGAAAAACTCAAGTTTCTCTCTCTGGTCTCTCTCTAAGCATGGATGTTAGAGACTGGAAAACATATTCTTCACAAGGAATAGTGAGTCCCATGTCATGATCGTACCCAAATTCTTCTACTGCACGTTGAAGAAGGTTCTGGAATTCAGATCTTGCCAAGAATGAGATAGGAACAATATATCTGCTTCTATTTTCCCCTACATACACTACAAAATGACCTTTTGGCACATCCACAGGAAGCCCTTCTTCATCATATCCTTGTACTTTCTTTCCCAAGCTTGAACACCTCTTTAATATCTTCTTTAAAACTGCACTTTGGGATAGTTTGTTTGCTTTTCTAATTGCCATTTTCAGGATTATCGAGAATTCGGGCGGATGAAGTTGAAGCCGGGAGTTTCGAATTAACAGAAAAAGAACAGCAACAACCAGAGCGGAAAGAATGTTTGGGAGGGTATATGACGAGAATTGGAATCGTTAAACTTAAAACAGCTACTCTCAAAATAATAGAAAGAAAAGCAATGACTCAACTCAACTCGACCCGACCCTGATTAGAGTGGGAATTAAAGTGTGGTGGGAAAAAGGGATTGCAAGGGGTTATATAAAGTGGGGGTAGAGAATAGGGATAAAAACAGTAGCATGTGGGGTTGTGGAGGCAAAGGAGAGACCATAAGTGCTTTAGGGATTGTGTACAAGTTCAAAACATGTTGGGAGCCAATGGCATTGGGTTTATTAATTAATGTTAACCATAAGTGCTTTAGGGATTGTGTTCTAGTTCAAAACATGTTGGGAGCCAATGGCATTGGGTTTATTAATTAATGTTACATTTCTTTAGGACAATATGGGGTCCTTCAAGAAAATTTCTCTGATCTGTCCTGATATTTGGTCTTTTTATTAAAGTTGGGAACCTTCCTCCCTATTTACAAGGTTTCTTGGAACCTATCATGTCCAGTATTCCGTGGTACGAGACAGTATTAATGAAAAAAAGAAGAAGTTAATATCTGATTTATCAAATGCGCTTCTTGGATTATTATTTTCATTTAATAATAATAATAATGGGTGGGGATAAATATCCACAGAGTAATCATATTTTCAATATCTTTTTTGGCTAAAAGATTTTCGTTCTTGGATACTATCTTGTTTGTCATTCATTTTGGCTAAAAGATTTTCATTTCAAGCACTTCAATAGTTTTTGGCTAAAGAATAATGTCATATAGTATTAGTGATGCTGGAACACCAATCTAAGTGTCAACATGTGATAAGTCTTAATAAATAAATCATAAATTCTTGTATTTAATTGAATATATAATTTAAAGCTTGTTTGGGAGAGATTTTTTGGGGAATAATTGATTTTGAATAGTGATATGATGGGAAATGTGTGGTTGAAAAAGAAGAAAAAATTATTGATGTGATGGAAAATATTATTTTATTGAAGAATGTGTGGTTAAAAATGAGAATTGATTTAATTGTTTGAGAGGGATTTTTGGGGGAATAATTGATTTTGAATAGTGATATGATGAGAAATGTGTGGTTGAAAAAGAAGAAAAAATTATTGATGTGATGGAAAATATTATTTTATTGAAAAATATGTGGTTAAAAATGAGAATTGATTTACTGTAGAAAAATCCAATCCCTTCCAAATAGGGCCTTAATTACACAAGTGATGTTATCTAGACCAGTATTAAACACCAATGGTGATAAATAACATTACTATTGGCTAAAAGATTTTCTACAGTTGATAGTTCAATCATTGATTTAAATAAATTTCACTAAATTCTTTTCGAGACTCGTAACATTTACCATTTGTCGATGACTTCAATAGATTTTTATACAATTTGGAAGCGTGTACGTACTTATGAATTAACCTCTAAGACCCCAAAAATGAGGTGTTTCTTACAGCTTTTTCCTGGTCATTCTGTCCTCGTTCAATTTCCATTTGCCCCATTTCAATTAGATATCCACTTAGCCAATAGTACCAAATATTAATAAAGTTAGACATTATAATCAAAAAGATTTTAACTTCAGAATGTATGGCAAATAAGCTATCAACTTTTTAGAGGCGCAGGTTAATTGTCTTTTAAGCTTTGGGCCACATGCGTGCTAATTTGTGATGTTTTAAAAATTGACTCAAGCATTGACTCAGAAAAGGATAAGGATTAAGGGTTAAAGAGTCAAACAAATGTCGAACCAAGGGCACTTGGAAGTTTGTTACGCTTCTTCTGAATGGGGCTCCAGATCATCGCCACGCGGCAATCGATTGTCAAGCACCCCAGGCCCATACTTCACGTCACCATCTTACCTTGTCGAGGTGGGACCACAGTCGATGTGATGCATCACTTCATTCAATGTGCCTTAGAGGGTTTACCCTCCAAAGTTGAGGTGAGGTGCCAAGTCTGCTACATGATGAAGTCCGAGGCTACCAGCCTCCTAATTTATAGAGAACATCGTCTTATACCATTGTCTCCTAGGAGATCTTCCATACAAGATTCACCTACGACTGATTAATGTGACAACTCACCGCAACAGCATCTTAATGTCAAATTGTCAATCTATATTTCAGAGGTCAGTCTAGATTTTAGAGTGACTGCTTGTTAGAAGCATTAAAAGCCCCGCTACCTATGATTGATGGAGTGAAACCTTTGAGGAGACCTCATCCGTCAAAATGAGGTCACATGCACTTCATCCTACAGTTGTCATTTCTCATCTTCTGTTATAAAAGCTCACACATTGTACCAATTGAAGGTAATGTAACTTTAGACTCTCAAAACTGTAAATTTTATCTCAATATATTTACCTCAAACCCTATCGGATTCAAGCCTTGAATACTTAGTGGCTCACGTTTCTTGTACGTCCCACACCCATGTACTTATACATTGATTGACTTGATCATCGTAAGTGTGCATGCGGCTCCCTCCCCAATTCGGATAAGGCCACGTGTGACTTACGATTTGTCCAAGTGTGCAGGAGTAAATGCTTAAATGGACGTGAGAGGACTCGGATTTGTTGGCCACGTCTCCTCTACAAAAAACGAGGTTAACAAAGTTAATTTGAATTGGGCCTTTCAATACAATTGAGCCTACGGACCGGATTTGAGGGAGGTTGAACTGGTCGATTTGATCCGATTTTCATAATATTGCTAAATCAGATGGGTTAGCTTTCCAACGCATTTTGAATCGCCTCAATCGAATATCGGAATACAAAGTTATGATAAAAACACTGAAAGAAGGTGCAGCTGCCTGTTTAAAACAAGAAATTCCGTTACATAATCCGTTAAAACAATAAATTCCGTTAGTTTTTCCGTTAAAAACAAGAAATTCTGTTACATAGCCACTTTTAATATATAAAAGATATCCACTTAGCCAATAGTACCAAATATTAATAAAGTTAGACATTATAATCGAAAAGATTTTAACTTCAGAATGTATGGCAAATAAGCTATCAACTTTTTAGAGGCGAATCCCACGATTTTTAAGTGTAAATAAAAGTTTCACCTAGGTAGGTTAATTGTCTTTTAAGCTTTGGGTCACATGCATGCTAATTTGAAACATCGACTCAAGCATTGACTCAGAAAATGATAAGGATTTAAGGGTCAAAGAGTCAAACAGATGTCGAACCAAGGTCGAACCGAATGCCAAAATTAAATAAATAACTACACAAACAAACAATAAAATATTATAAAAAAATTTTGTTTTATAGTTTTAGCACTACTAATTCAAAGTATTTTAAAACTTCAAAAAACTAACAATTAATGTGTCCAAAATAAATTGCTTTGTTCAATTGAAATTGTTTGTGCTTTGGAGGCCATGATTTGTTAACACGGAAAATGAAGTAAACAACTAAATATTTAAATTATCAATTGGCTAGCCTACAACTTTTATCTTATCCCACATCAGAAGATTAATTAGAATGTGTAGAATTCTCTTTTAAAAGCAATAGCACTTGGAAGTTTGTTACGCTTCTTCTGAATGAGGCTCCAGATCATCGCCATGTGGCAATCGATTGGCAAGCACCCCAGGCTCATACTTCACGTCACCATCTTACCTTGTTGAGGTGGGACCATGGTCGACGTGATGCATCACTTCATTCAATGTGCCTTAGAGGGTTTACCCTCCAAAGTTGAGGTGAGGTGCCAAGTCTACTGCATGATGAAGTCCGAGGCTACCAACCTCCTAATTTATAGAGAACATCGTCTTATACCATTGTCTCCTAGGAGATCTTCCATACAAGATTCACCTACGACTGATTAATGTGACAACTCACCGCAACAGCATCTTAATGTCAAATTGTTAATCTATATTTCAGAGGTCAGCCTAGACTTTAGAGTGACTGCTTGTTAGAAGCATTAAAAGTCGGGCTACCTATGATTGATGGAGTGAAACCTATGAGGAGACCTCATCCATCAAAATGAGGTCACATGCACTTCATCATACAGTTGTCATTTCTCATCTACTGTTATAAAAGCTCACACATTGTACCAATTGAAGGTAATGTAGCTTTAGACTCTCAAAACTATAAATTTTATCTCAATATATTTACCTCATACCCTATCGGATTCAAGCCTTCAATACTTAGTGGCTCATGTTTCTTGTATGTCCCACACCCCTGTACTTATACATTGATTGACTTGATCATCGTAAGTGTGCATGCGGCTCCCTCCTCAATTCAGAGAAGACCACGTGTGACTTACGATTTGTCCAAGTGTGCAGGAGTAAATGCTTAAATGGATGTGAGAGGACTCGGATTTGTTGGCCACGTCTCCTCTACAAAAAACGAGGTTAACAAAGTTAATTTGAATTGGGCCTTTCAATACAATTGAGCCTACGGACCGGATTTGAGGGAGGTTGAACTGGTCGATTCGATCCGATTTTCATAATATTGCTAATTGACGTAATTTTGACCAACAAATGGGGTTTATTCTATATAAGCTCCATCCAAACATGCTTTAATAGAACTAGACTTATTCTTAAGCACAACCAAAAATTTGCCCAAGAATCTAACAACAGCAAATGAAATATTTTCTCATTAAATTTAGTGCAAGTCAAAAATACAAATTAACATGATTAAGATCAAGACTACAAAGTGAAGATGAGACCAAGACAGCCACCTGCATTATGTGAATGAAATGGGTTGGCTAGGTTGAACTTGAGAATCTAACAAAATACTAAGTCCCCATTCAACTCTCCTTATTTCAAAACTCTTTAATTCTCATATTTATTTTCAATTACACATTCGTACAATAAAATATTTTGCATATAAATTCGTGACTTTTATCAACTTTTTAACATCACGTTCTCCAAAAATTTATTATTCAAAACTTCATTTCCCCCGTTTCTCTATGTAATGACCATCAA